CTCCTCCTCCTCCTCCTCCTCCTCCTCCTCCTCCTCCTCTTCCCCCCTGCTATCGCTGCCCCTGCAGGCGAGGCGCGCCGCCTTCTGCGCCGCGGGGCCCGACGCGGCGGGAGGGGCGGCCGGCGCTCCCCAGCAGCCGGGCGCGGGCTCCACGGCGCGCGGAGGCGCCAGGCCCTGGGCGAGCAGCCAGTCCACCTGCGCTTCTCGGGGCCGGCCAAGAGGGGGGCGTCCCAGAGGGTGGGACGTAAATCAAGGCCGTCGGCACGTGCGCGGCCCAGGGGGCAGGCCAGGAACGTAACAAAATAAGAAGGGGCGCCATGAAATCTGGGGAAATACCATGACCCACGCCACGATATCCCCCCCCCCCTTAGTCATCACCCCTCTCTTTGCCGCCCCTGAGCTTCGGCCCAGTGGCACGGCAGGTTCCCAAACATGATCGCGTGGTCAAATTACCCTGTGACGTACCCAACCCATGTGTATCAGTGGAAACGATGAGTTGGCCGAAACTTGTATGGACAATCAACTTGATGTGTAAGCTACTTGGGAGGCGTCACTGTGCTGGGCCCCGCAAGCAGGCCTCGAAAGTGGCGTCAGTTTCACAGATCGCACCCCCCCAGGGATGGCGAGGTCTAATTTGAATCTGCGTGTGGCGTCACTGTGCTGGGCCCCCCAGCAGGCCGCGAAAGTGGCGACAGTTTCACAGATCGCAGCCCCCCAGGGATGGCGAGGTCTAACTTGAACCCGCCGTGGGTACCCACTGTGCTGGGCCCCCCAGCAGGCCTCGAAAGTGGCGACAGTTTCGCAGATCGCAGCCCCCCAGGGATGGCGAGGTCGCATTTGAGTCCGCCGTGGGTACCCACTGTGCTGGGCACCCCGGCAGGCCTCGAAGTGGCGACAGTTTGACAGATCTCAGCCCCCCAGGGATGGCGAGGTCCCATTTGAGTCCGCCGCGGGTACCCACAGTGCTGGGCCCCCCAGCAGCCCTCGAAAGTGGCGACAGTTTCGCAGATCGCAGCCCCCCAGGGATGGCGAGGTCCCATTTGAGTCCGCCGCGGGTGCAGACTGTGCTGGGCCCCCCAGCAGCCTCGAAAGTGGCGACAGTTTCACAGATCGCAGCCCCCCAGGGATGGCGAGGTCCCATTTGAGTCCGCCGTGGTACCCACTGTGCTGGGCCCCCCAGCAGCCCTCGAAAGTGGCGACAGTTTCGCAGATCGCAGCCCCCCAGGGATGGCGAGGTCCCATTTGAGTCCGCCGCGGGTGCAGACTGTGCTGGGCCCCCCAGCAGCCCTCGAAAGTGGCGACAGTTTCGCAGATCGCAGCCCCCCAGGGATGGCGAGGTCTAACTTGAGTCCGCCGCGGGTGCAGACTGTGCTGGGCCCCCCAGCAGCCCTTGAAAGTGGCGACAGTTTCACAGATCGCAGCCCCCCAGCTGGCACGCAGCGACGAGCGAGGCAAAAGGCAAGGGGGAAGAGAGGGACGGGAGGGGGTGGGAAGGAGACGCGCGAGCAGTGCTCTATTCAAAACGAGAACCCAACGCAGGAGGGTTGGGAAAAAAATCAAGACGGCCAATGTTTCACTCTTTTCGGCCCTTGGGGGCCCTCGCCGGGCCCCGGGACCGTCAAGAAACGACTCAGGATGACAAACCAGCCCCAGGGAAAGGCTGCGGACTTCTGGGGACGCCGTGCCGAGGCTCATGGTATTCGGGCGTCGTCGTCGGTTCTCGGCGGCCTTCTTGCCTCTGGAGGCCCTCCAGCAGCCGCGCCTCACCGAGGGCGTTCAGGGGGGGCGCCCGGGTCGTCCCGAACGGACGCCTGAGGCCCGGGCTTGTCTCCCAAACCAGGCTCCAGGGATTGGATTGGCTCATGCGGGCGACCCAAAGACCCCCGACGTCATGATTTGTTCCTGACGTCATGATTTTTTCATGATGCGCAGCGGACGCCGAGCGCGCGAGCGGTCTGCAGGGAGAGAGGTCCGCCTGCGCGCCCGGCACGGCGCGGCGTGGGGCGCAGAGCTCCGACGGTGCGGCGTTGTGCCAAGTCTCGGCGGCGAGCCCAGGGGGAATGCAGAGCGAGGGAATGAAAAAGCGACCCTACCCTGGGTTACAAGAGCGTGGTCTGTAAACCTCCTGGGAAGTCCCAGAGCCTAGAAAGCCGCCAGGACGCCACAAATCACGCAGGGCTTATCCTGTCAGCCCACAGGACTTCCAGCGCACATCGCCTCGTAAACCAAGGTAGGGGCGTTTTCTTGCGCCCTTGACAGAGGGGGCGGGCCTTCTCAGAAGGCTGGGAGAACCTCGGGCCTTCTCAAAAGTCTTCTCGGCCTTCTCCGAAGGAGAGGGCGGCTCCTTGGAGGGCGCGGGGGCTTCTGAGAAGCCCCGCCGCCTCCTAAGAAGGCCTGCCCCCCCTCTCGCTTCCCCCCCCCGGGGCTCGCCGCCAAACATCTTGGCTTAGCTTGGGCATGTCCCCCTACAGGCGGATTTTGGAGAAAGGAAGAAAAACTAGTCAAAAATACTCAAACATAGCCCAGACATAAGCGACAAATCGTACCCAACCTATGTTCTATGATTTTTCAATTTACCAAGATTCCTCCTGTAGAGGGACGTGCCCGACTCAAATCTTGGCGTTTCTGAGCCTCGATCTCGGTCCTCGGCGTCCGTCTGCGGGCCCATTGGGCGCGCAGAGACGGAGCCGGGGAGGGCCGCGCATGGGAGCACGTTTCCTGCTTGCGGCGAGCTGGGCCCCAGGGTTTCAAATTAAGCAGCAGGAGCCACAGGGTAGCCGCGCGAACGTCGCTCTGGCCTCTGGCTTCCGGGACAAAATCCCCGGCGCGGGCTGCTTGAGCAGGCAGCGTGGTCTGGCAGGCCTGTTCTGCGCGTGTCCTAGTACGCGTGCCTGGAAGCTCTCCAGAAGGTCCTTCGGAAGCTCGTCCCCCTCCTCCTCCTCCTCCTCCTCCTCCTCCTCCTCCTCCGCTCCTCCTCCTCCTGCTCCTCCTCCTCCTCCTCCTGCTCCTCCTCCTCCTCCTCCTTCTCCTCCTCCTCCTCCAGGTCCTTCCAGAATTCTTCGCCGACCCTTTGCACGCCCTTCGGGCGCCCTGCTGTCCGTGTTTTGGGCTCCACAAGTTCTGCCTGCGGCGAGGTGGGTCCAAGCAGCGGTCGGGGCGGACGGGAAAAACACGTTGGGATGTCTGAGCGCGTAACCCCTGAGATCTGGCCGTCGCCCTCTGCCTCGTTTCCGTGCCTGGCGCTCTGGACGGGTCTTGTGCGGGCCCCCAGGGCCCTCATCATGTCTAGAGCTGGCTCAAGGAATGCCGAAGGGAAGCTGGCGTTAAGTCGGGCGTGTCCCCCTACAGGGGCATTTCCTACGAAAAATAAAAAATACCCCCAAAACAATAAAAACAAATAATCCAAAAATAGTCTGGGGATTATTTGTTTTAATGATTGTTGTTTTTTTACCCTTCTGGTGCATTTCTGGGGTATCTTTTATTTCCGTCGAAAATTCCCCCTGTAGGGGGACAGGCCCGACTTGAAGCTGGTGTCCAGGGCTGTGGTCGTGATGTTCCCGATGCTGCTATTCTGGTGCGCGCCTGCGATCCCCATCCCGCTCGTGCCCGGGCACGCGGCCGCTCCTGCCTGGCTGCTCCTGCCCGGCTGCGTATTCCTGCTTACCCTTACTTAGCTCGGGCGTGTCCCCCTCCAGGCGGATTTTGAACGAACAATGAAAAAAATAGTCAAAACATGCTCAAACATAGTCAAACACAGTAGAAAACTAGTCCCTAGGGAAAAGCAAAAGTTTGAAGATTGCCCCTGATGAGGGACATGCCCGACGTAAGCTTACCCATTTCCTGCCGCTCGCTTGGCTTGCCCCTCGCACGGGACAGCACAAATGAGCCCAGGCGCGTCCACCACACGTGCGGATGCAATCATTGCAGCGTCTCCCGCTGCACTCGACGCGAACGTCCTGCACGTCGCGGGGGGGGGGTAAACGTGTGCACGTGTGTTTGTTAGCACACATTCCTGTCCTGCGTGCGCTTCATGCCGGTCGCTCAATAGAACTTGCGTTATCGCTTTCTGCTCGAACCGCTGATCCCACTCAGTTGGTGACGTTGGGAAAGAAGTGTATGCGTCGGTTCGTTCGTGTGCCACGAGGAAGATCAGTATTCACTAACGCGTCCCGCAGAACGGCCCGCCGATTGCATCCTTTGGAGCGTCGGAGGAAATGTGCGCGTGTCTGGGGAAACAAAACAAGAACCGATGCTGCAACTCCAGGGACCTCTCCCAAGGTGCATTCTGACTAGGTGTTCGATGCGAGTCCAGCCGTGGCGATGAGGGCATCCCACAAGGCCCAACAGGGCGAAGACGAGGGAAGGGAAGCGGCATCGGTGCCTCCCCTTCCTGCGACGACGGCGGCGCCCCCTTGGGATCTCCAGGGCCGCCAAACCCCGCACCGCGTCCTTGAGCCGCGCGTTCTCCTCCAGCAGGCCACGCAGGGCCTCGCTCTGGCGCCGAATGTCCTGGCGAGGGCAACGAAGGCGGGGGAGGAAGACACTGGGAAGCCGCCCGGGGGTCTGCGCTGTATGGGCCCCGGGAATCGGTGAACAGGGGGGCGGAAGCAAAACCGTTCCACATCATGTCCTGGACTCCCCCAAGGCCCGAACCGACAAATTGTTCGAACTGCGTCCGCCCGTGGCGACGAGGGGGCCTCCCTTTCTTCCTCCTCTCAGCTGGCGGGCAGCACCAGTGCCAGGCCACCGGAGCCCCTCGGCTGGCTCCGAACAGCTGTCGTGACGTTTGTGAAGTTTGGGGATCCGTCCGGCGACCTTCGGAATGTTTCCGGCGCTTCTCTCCAAATTTCCAAAGACGTCGGAGCGTTTCCGGAGGCTAGCGGGGGCTCTTGGAGGTGGAGCGGTCTCGAAGGAGGGGAAGGGCCAGGGATGCATTTCTGGGGGACTTCGTGTAAGTTGTGCTCAGTCGCTTGTTGCTTGGGTGGCTCAGCGGAAAAGCAACAGACTGCGTAACCATAAACTGTCGGAGCTCCGCGTGGATTTCCTGCATCGACGCGGGGCTCCCCTGAAGAGCGGACCCGAAAAACTACTCAAGTCCAGAGGGCCGTGCTCGTCCGGCACCTAATCGGCGGTGGACAAACCTCCTTTATGAAGGGGCCCAGGCCCTGGGACACACAAATAAATACACACAAATAAAAGTATGCCCCATATTTTCCTATATTTTCTGGGTTTTTGTCTTCCCCCCCGCTTCCCATGTTTTCCCATATTTTCATTGGGATTGTCGATTAATTGTGTCTGTGTGCATTTTCCCCTCCTGAAAACCTCCCTTTAGTAAACCTCCCTTTCGTGAAAACGGCCTGGGACCGCAACTGACGGATCTGGAACCGCAGAAATGACGACCGCGACGCCCTCTCGCGAACCGAAAACGGCCAATTTGTTGATCCACGCGTCAGGGTAGGAGGTCTATCAACCTCCGACCTACATGCTACGCGGCCGCCGCAACCCCCTGCGGCAGTCACAGCCCAGCGTGCCGCGCCTCCATCACGCTGAGAGGCGCGTGCACGCCAAGCGGGGGGCCGGTGACCCGTGCCTCCGCGGCCCGGCCTACAGGGCAGTTTTTAAAACATAGGATTCAAAAATATGGGATTTACATACATGACCGATCTAGGAGTAAATTCATGCGTGCACTCCTCGTTGTGTTTGATGCTGAATCCCTGCATGTTTTAGACATGAGATCCGCACGCGGAGCACGTACTAAAAACGGCACTGCGCTCTCGGGTTGGTGAGCACGGACGCGCTCGAAGGCGCGCCAGGGCCGCCCGCCCGCAAGCCAGCCGGGCGCCGGGCCGTGCTCCGGCCGCAGAGGCAGCACCCCACGCGACAGCCGCCGTGCGCCACGAGCGGTGCCCGCGGCTGCGGAGCCCAGCGCCGCCGACGCCCACGGTGAGGCGGGCGGCCGCATGCCCCGGGCAGCGCTCCACCTCCGGCGCGCAGCACTCTGCAGCATGGCGGCGGCACCGGCGGCACTCCCACCAGCCGCCCCGCCTGCGCCTGAGGTCGCGCCGCTCGAGCAGATCTGGGACAAGCTGGACCTGCGGCGGCGGCGGCGGCTGTTCGGGGTCTGGCAGCTTGCCAACGTCTGGCCACCCGCCGTGCGCTTCGAACACCCGCTCGGTGAGCTCCGCGACGAAGTCCGAGGCAAAGCCGATGCGCTCCTCTTCGGCCGCGCACTCCTCGTGGACATGCTCTTGAGAACTCTTCGTGCCCTCGTTCGAACCCTGGCCAACCAGGCAGTCTGCCTCCGCATTCGCCCTCGCGATGCGGAGCACATCTGCTTCCAGCCTTTCCAGCGCCGCTGTGGTCCGGTGCGCCTTCGTCTTCTGGAACAGCACGCCTGTCGCTCCGAGGTCGAGATCGTGGATCCAGATCCACAGGTCGGCGTCAGGCCTGGCGACGCACACGCGCCGCGCCCGGCCAGCCGCGATGTCACCCAGAAAACTTCGCCCGTCAATGTGTAGTACAATGGGCGGCAAGGCATGCGCCAAAGCGCGCTCCACGGCCTGCAGCCAGGCCCAGGCAATGCCGCGCTGCACATGGAGCCAGTGCGGCAGCGGTCCTCGCACAGCTGCCACGAGAGCGCCTTCGGCGTCGACCCTGGCCGCAGTCCATCTGTCGCGTCAGAGTCACCGCCACCGGCCACCCTCGAGGCCGCCATGGGTCCCGACCGCGCTGGTGAGCCAGGCGTCGCTCCCGGGGCTAATCCACGTCTCTTGCAGCGGCTGCGCTTGGAATGGGCACCGGGCGCCAGGGTGGGCCACCGGGCCCCGGTCCCACAAGCGCTCGTTAATGGAAACCGCCGCCTCCGCAAGTTCACAGAAAAGATCCAGGACGGGTGAAATTCCGCATTTGCGGGGCAGCGTTTCCCACTTGCGCTCATGGCCCATTCGGCACTGTGCACAGCTCAAGCGATTACATGAGCCCAGTACTTCAAAATTTACCCTAGCAAAGCACCCTGTTAGCAGCAACGGTGACATGCGAGACCTGTGGAACCTGCAGGACATGTGGGACCATCGAGGACTGCTAGACCAGTTGGAGCTGTGCAACAAGTGGGACCTGTGGGATATGCGGGACCTGTGGGACCTGTGGGACCTGTGGGACCTGCGAGACTTACGAGACCCGCGAGCCCTCCGGGGCCTGTAGGACCTCTGGGACTTGTCGGACCGTCGGGACCAACGAGCCCTGTTGGAGCTGTGGGATCTGCGGGACCTCGACTTGTGGGACCTGCGGGACCAAAGAGACCTGCGAGACCTGTGGGACCTGAGAAACGTGTGAGACCTGTGGGGCCTGAGGGGCCAGTGTGACCTATGGATCATGATCAACATCATCATCAACATGATCATCACTATACCGTCACCGTCACCGTCACCGTCACCATCACCATCACCATTACCAACATTATCACCATCATCATCATCATCAGCATCATCATCAGCATCAGCATCAGCATCAGCATCAGCATCAGCATCATCATCATCATCATCATCACCGTCATCATCATTTATCAATCATCGTTCACCATGAATCCGCATCAGCAACAGCATCAGCATTAGTATCAGAATCGTCGTCATCAGTATCAGCATCAGCATCCTCGTCATCGCCATCATCATCAGCATCATCATCCTCATCCTCATCCTCATCCTCATCCTCATGCTCATGCTCATCAACCTCAGCCTCATCCTCATCCTACTATTCCTCTTCGTCCTCATCATCATCACCATAATCGTGATCATCACCATCACCATCACCATCGCCAGCATCATCGTCATCAGCCGCATCATCATACAATCATGTCATCAGGTCATCACCGTCACCATAGCATCATCATCATCATCACCATCATCATCACCACCATCATCATCATCATCATCATCACCATCATCAGCATCATCATCATCATCATAATCATCATCACCATCATAAGCATCATCATCATCATAATCAGCATCAGCATCATCAGCACCAGCATCATCACTGCTCTCTCAAGTGTGGAGACACGAGATACCATACGTGACGGCTCCCCGTGCCCCCTCGAGGAGTCGCCATCCAGAATGCTGAGCTGGCAGGCAGAACCTGCCGCGGGCAGCTGGACATCCACCGCACGTGCAAGGGGTCCGAATATATCCATACTCACAGCCTGCCGACATCTCCGAAGATCGATCTCCAATGCGGTGGATATCGGTAAATCCCCGCCTCGAAGAGGAGAGCGAGAGGAGAGCGAGGAGGAGGAGGAGGAGGAGGAGGAGGAGGAGGAGGAGACGAGGAGGAGGAGGAGGAGGAGGAGGAGGAGGAGGAGGAGGAGGAGGGCGAGGGGGAGGAGGAGGAGGAGGTGGAGGAGGAGGAGGAGGAGGAGGAGGAGGAGGAGGTCGGCCGGGCCGAGCTGGCCCCTGCCGAGCCGAGGCGGGCTCCGAGCGCTCCCCCCGCCGCAGCTCCTGGCTCGCGGCCGCGTGCATGCCGCGCTGCCACTGCTGCAGGTCCTGCGGGGGGTCAGCTCCCGAGGGGGGGCAGCTCCCGACCAGGCTTAGCGGCTCAAGTCGGGAGCGTCCTCCTATAAGGGGATTTTGAAAGAAAAATAAAACAAGTCAAACAATAATTCGAAAATGCCCAAAAAGATGCTCAAACAATCGTTCCCTGACCATTTTTTGGCTTTGTTTTGAATTCTCCTCCTGTAGAGGGACAGGCCCCGACTGAAGACCAGGGCAGGAGCACATGGGGGCCGGGGGATCGCCGCTGCATCGGCGGTCGGCGACGCTTCGCGAAGGAGAGAATCGGCGGCGCGCCGGGGGGGGAGATTGAAGGGGCCCCAGGACACACGAATAAATACACACGAATGAAAGGATTTCCCATATTTTCCAATATTTTCTGGGTTTCTGTCTTCCCCCCCACTTCTCATATTTCCTCATATTTTCTGAGGAATCGAGGATTAATTGTGTCTGTGTGTTTTCTCCTCTCCTGATTCCTCAGAGCCCCCGCAGACACCTGGAGTCCCGAAGCGGTGCGGTGGCAGACCGTGTGGTGACCTCGAGATCCCCCAAGACGGCACCGCAGGGTCCGCCACCGCACGGTCTTGGGGCATCGGAGGCCCCAGTCGCCCGAGACGTCCTCGGAGAACGACCCGAGTCCCAAAAGCGTGCGGTAACCCCGAATCCCCACCGACTCACCACACGGTGTGGTCATCACTCCGTTTGGGGGCCCCCGAAGACAGTCGACAGCCCCGCCGCCCCGTCGTTCTTACCTTAAGTCGGGCGTGTCCCCCTACAGGGGGATTTTCGACGAAAAATAAAAAAAAATCCCCAAAATGCCCCAAAAAGATAAAACATCCTAACAAAATAGTCCCCAGACTATGTTTGGACTATTTTTTGCATATTTTTTGGCTAGTTTTTTTTGTTCGTCGAAAATCCCCCTGTAGGGGGACACGCCCGACATAATCTTACCCGCAGCTGCGGGGGTTATGGTCAATTTTCGAGGGGCCGCCCGCAGTTCTTCGATCGGCGCTGGGCCCCCCCCCCCCATCCATGCCGCGCGGAGCGCGCCAGGGGCGGCGCCGGAAGCGCCGCCAGCGCCGACCCAAGGCATCCGCGCGGACCTCCGACAGATGATGCCTGTTCCATCTCTTCTTCGAGACGAGCCCACTGAAGGGTCCCCAGGACACACAAATAAATACACACACAAATAACAGGATTCCCCCTATTATCCTATATTTTTGGTATTTTTGTCTTCCCCCCCGCTTCCCATATTTTCTGAGGAATCGACGATTCATTGTGTCTGTGTGTTTTTCTTCCTCCTGACCTATGCCCTTCGTGGTAGAGCGCTAGGCGGCATGAGGGAGGGGGCAGTGCCGACCGAAGAATAAGACGAAGGCAGGACGACGACAAATCCAGCTGGGGACCCAAACTTTGACGATGCGATCGTTTCAATCCGGATGTTTTGTATCAGAGCTTTGGCCCAGCAACAATGTCGGAGCTCCGGGGCGATCCAAAACGGATCTGGGGCGGAAAACGTGCCCTGCGCATGGGGTCGGGACCTCGGCCGCGCACTGACTGAAATCACATCGTCGGATTCCTGGGCCTGGAGGATGCATCGGGCGCGCCGCGGCTGTTCCAGTGGGAAGACGAAACCACAACTCGGACATAGTCGTACCGGGATAGATCGAGGTTCGCTCAAGTTTGGGGGTTCTCGAAGATGTAACAGCCTCGCTCGGTTGGAGATGGACCGCGCAAGGTCAGGAGCCAAAAAGCGGGTCCAGATCAGGTGCTGGTCTGCCGTCCGAGCGGCCTGCTCCGTCATTTGACGAGTGAGCGGATGCTCAGCAAAATACTCACGCCAGAAGCTGTCGTGAGGCGGGAATCTCCCAAACCTATGCTTACAACTGCCTCTCGCCCGCTTCATTCATACAAACGCGGGTCAGACCAGAGCCCGCCGGCAAACAAACCGGGTGCTTCGGGGCCCCGTGGGGCAAATTGGAAGGGGGCCGAGGCCATCGGGACCTGAGGGGCTGCATAAGGGGAGGCTGAGGACAGCGGATGGGTGGCCCACGACGAATACTTGGCCAACACCTGTCGCCAAAATCATCGCTCCGTGGCCCCGTCAGTCAACGCGCCTCCCGCTCTGGCACCAAACTCTCGCTGTGCACAAGGCTCCTTTGAGTACCCCGGAGGAGGGGAGACACCACACAGTCAACCCAGTGGGGGGAGGCCGGATGGAGGAGGCAGTGCGGACGAGGAGGAGACCGAAGACGGTAGGAGGAACGAGAACGAAGAACGTCTAGAACGACCAAGAATGCATAAGCACATCCCTTCGGAAGTACGCTTAGGTCGGGCATGTCCCCCTGCAGGGGGATTTTGGACGAAAAACAAAGAATAGTCAACCAATATACCAGAAATCACAAACATGGTACAACAAATCATCCCCGACTATTTGTTGGACTATTTTTGCAGATTCCTCCTGTGGAGGGTCAAGCCCAACTTAACCCAAGAAAGCCGCGTGGACACCTCCGAAGGCTTGTGTGTGTGCATATATGCCGAGGCTTCGTCCCTCGACTGTCTCTAGCGGTTGCTTTTTGGCGAGGCCCCTAAAGGGGGTGGCGCGAGGGGGTCGGCCTTCTGAGGAGGCGGATGGAGGAGGAGGAGGAGGAGGAGGAGGAGGAGGAGCAGGAGGAGGAGGAGGGGCTTCTCAGAAGGCAGGGGCCTTCTTGCAGAGGGCCTGGCGACTTCGAAAGACGCCTTCCTGTGCAAATCAGCAGCCTTGGCCCCCTGCCCCCTGAGAAGCCCATCCGCCTTCTCAGGAAGCCGCCCCCCTCGCGCCGTCCCCCTGTGAAGCGCCGCCGCCCACTTTGAAGCGCGCCGCCCCGAGGTCCCCAATCTGCCGTCTGCCGTCTCGCCGGAACTCCTTCGCCACGACCCCAAGGCGACTGTCCAGCTCGGTCTTGCGAAGCACCGCCTGCGACGGGTGGGCAAAACATCGCAAGGCCCCGTCAGGGCTCGCCTCCCACTCCGCCCGCGCGTGGCTGTCGTGGCTCCTCTCGCTCCTGGCCAGTGGGTGTTCCTCCTCCTCCTCCTTCTCCTCCTCCTCCTCCTCATCCTCCTCCTGCTCCTCCTCCCCCTCATCATCAGCATGAGCATCAGCATCAGCATCACCATCACCACCATCACCACCATCATCACCACCACCATCACCACCATCATCAGCAGCATCATCACCATCACCATCACAATCACCATCACCATCATCATCACCATCACCATCACCATCACCATCACCATCACCATCACCATCACCATCATCATCATCATCATCATCATCATCATCATCATCATCAGCAGCAGCAGCAGCAGCATTCTCAACATCCTCATCACTATCACCATCACCATCAGCATCACCATCATCAGCATCATCAGCAGCAGTATCAGCATTTGCATCAGCATCAGCATCAGCATCAGCATCAGCATCAGCATCGGCATCAGCATCAGCATCATCATCATCATCATCATCATCATCATCATCAAAATGAGGGGTCCGAACGGTCATTGTCCCTGGGTGCGTGGCTAAAGTGCGGATCCGTGGTTACGATTCTGCTTGTTGCGTTTTTGTTGTTGGTGTTGTCGTTGTTATAATTAATGTTCTTGTTGTCATTGTTGTTGTTGTCCCACCCCGCGACCCACCCGCGACCCACCCCGCGACCCACCCCGCGACCCACCCCGCGAACCACCCCGCGACCCACCCTGCGACCCACCTGCGACCCAACCCGCGACCCACCCGCGACCACCCCGCGACCCACCCGCGACCCACCCGCGACCCAACGAGGACCCACCCACGACCCACCCACGACCCACCACCGACCCACCCGCGACCCACCCAACGACCCACCCAACGACCCACCCGCGACTCACCGGCGATCCAACAGCGACCCACCCGCGACCCATTTGCGACCTACCCACATTGGGCTCGTTATATCATTGGTGAAACTTTGGCGCCGACGGCGGGCTTCTCCAGAGACTCGCAAACTGCCGACGTCCCACCGCCCCCTCACTCTTATCTGCATCTGCGGGGTGCTACGCCATCATCATCATCATCATCATCATCATCAGCAGCAGCAACATCATCATCATCACCACCACCATCATCCTCATCATCCTCATCATCCACATCATCATCATCATCATCCTCATCATCCTCATCATCATCATCATCATCATCATCATCATCATCCTCATCATCCTCGCCATCATCATCATCAGCATCATCATCGCTATCATCATAATAATCATAATCCTCATCCTCATCCTCATCCTCATCCTCATCCTCATCATCATCATCATCATCATCATCGTCATAATCATCATCATCATCATCGGCAGCAATAGCAACATCACCAAAATCATCATCATCATCATCAGCATCATCATCATGATCATCGTCATCATCATCATCATCATCATCATCATCATCATCATCATCATAATCATCACCACTATCATCACGATCTTCATCACCATAACCGTCATCATCATCATCATCAGCATCATCATCATCATCACCACAAGGGGCGCTCAACCTTGAACGGCCGCGCTGGGGTCGCTACCGCATCGACCCGACGCGAACCTGCCATGTTTCCCCGAACGACTTGCGTGCACTGCACCGTGTTAGCGTCTCCCGAGACATCGCCAATCCTCGACACGAGACTGGTGCGGTGCATAGCCTGTCGGTCGTCATTTGTTTTCCCAACCATCCTGTGGTGTTGGGTCCTCGTTTTGAAGAGACGGTGCCCCGCGTTCCCGCCTCCTTCCTCCCTCCCTCCTCCCCCCTCCTCCCCCTCCCACACCCATTCTGGCACACCCCTCACACGTTTCGTGGCCCCATAGGGAGCTCCACCGAAGGCCCCAGTGGCTGCGTTCGCATGCGGTTCCACCCCCCATTCTGGCACACCCCTCACACGTTTCGTGGCCCCAATAGGGAGCTCCACCGAAGGCCCCAGTGGCTGCGCTCGCAAGCGGTTCCACCCGCCATTTCGGCACACCCCTCACACGTTTCGTGGTTCCACAGGGAGCTCCACCGAAGGCCCCAGTGGCTGCGTTCGCATGCGGTTCCACCCCCAATTTCGGCACACCCCTCACACGCTGCGTGGCCCCATAGGGAGCTCCACCGAAGGCCCCAGTGGCTGCGTTCGCATGCGGTTCCACCCCCCATTCTGGCACACCCCTCACACGTTTCGTGGCCCCATAGGGAGCTCCACCGAAGGCCCCAGTGGCTGCGTTCGCATGCGGTTCCACCCCCCATTCTGGCACACCCCTCACACGTTTCGTGGCCCCATAGGGAGCTCCACCGAAGGCCCCAGTGGCTGCGCCCGCAAGCGGTTCCACCCCCCATTCTGGCACACCCCTCACACGTTTCGTGGCCCCATAGGGAGCTCCACCGAAGGCCCCAGTGGCTGCGCCCGCATGCGGTTCCACCCCCCATTCTGGCACACCCCTCACACGTTTCGTGGCCCCATAGGGAGCTCCACCGAAGGCCCCAGTGGCTGCGCCCGCATGCGGTTCCACCCCCCATTCTGGCACACCCCTCACACGTTTCGTGGCCCCATAGGGAGCTCCACCGAAGGCCCCAGTGGCTGCGCCCGCATGCGGTTCCACCCCCCATTCTGGCACACCCCTCACACGTTTCGTGGCCCCATAGGGAGCTCCACCGAAGGCCCCAGTGGCTGCGTCCGCATGGCGGCGCCGCACCCAATTTCGGCACACCCCTCGCACGTTTCGTGGCCCCACAGGGAGCTATCCACCGTTTCGTGGCCCCCATGGCTGCGTTGCATGGCGGCGCCGCACCCAATTTGGCACACCCCTCACACGGCTTCGTCCGGGAGCTCCACCCCAGTGGGCGTTCGCATGGCGGCGCCGCACCCAATTTGGCACACCCCTCACACGTTTCGTGGCCCCATAGCTCCACCGAAGGCCCCAGTGGCTGCGTTGGCATGGCGGCGCCGCACCCAATTTGGCACACCCCTTTCACGTTTCGTGGCCCCATAGGGAGCTCCACCGAAGGCCCCAGTGGCTGCGTTGGCATGGCGGCGCCGCACCCATTTGGCACACCCCTCACACGTTTCGTGGCCCCATAGGGAGCTCCACCGAAGGCCCCAGTGGCTGCGTTCGCATGGCGGCGCCGCACCCATTTCGGCACACCCCTTACACGCTTCGTGGCCCCATAGGGAGCTCCACCGAAGCTCCCAGTGGCTGCGTTGGCATGGCGGCGCCGCGCCGAAGAAGATGTTCACTAGTGCGGTATTCACAGCTGCATATGATTGGGTCCTTCGCCAGGCTAATGTTTGTTGGTCTGCGGGTCGAGAGCGAACCTCTTCCGGTTAAAAGCTAGGCGGGCTACGCAAAGCTCTAACTGGGGAGACAGAGCACAGGCGGGCGGGGCCTCACTGTCGGTCGCCAGGATGAACAAAAAACAGTGCAACGTTCCGCTTTGGAGCGGGGCCTCGAGGGAGTCCGAGTATAGTTCGGTGCATGCCGTTCTCGTACAGGGCAGTTTTTTTTTAATACATAGATTTTGCACATATGGGATTTTAATACATGGGTCATTTAGTAAAAAAATACTGCATAAACTCATCCTTGCATTTATTAAGCAACCCTGTAAATTTAACACATGGTCCGCACGCGGAGCATGTATTAAAAACGGCACTGTACTTGGTATCTTTCTTTCGGGTCGCCTGGGGTCCAGAGCTCGGCCGCAGAGATCCCGAACACTTCCCCGGGAGCAATTTGTCGCTCTGGATTCGCCAGCCGCAAAAAACCTCATCGCGTCCGTGATTTGGGTATGACGGGCCGCCACGGGCCTGGGGACCTTGCTGAAGCCACTCACTCCACTCATGCGTCGACGCTGCGTCGAAAGTCTGTCGACTCGAGTCGAACTTGCGTCAAACTTGAGTCGGACTTAATCGAGCTGAAATGAAACTGGACTCGAACTAGAGTCCAACAGATCCGTCAGGCGGTCTTTAAGAAGGTTGACAAACTGGGACTAGGGCTAGGACGCTGGCCTGTCTCCGAAGAGGCAGCTCCAAGACAAAAGGAAAAGAGAGCAAGACGAGGGGGGCGACGGCGACCGCGTTCTGCGCAAGTCGCACACCCCATACAGGCCCAAACACTCGAAGTACGGTGGGCCACGAAAGGGGCCGAAGAAACAACAACATGTTGGAAAGAGCCGCACGCTCCGCTGCAAAAATTGCGCTGCTGAGTGGCGTTCGCCGCGAACATCAGATGGGGAGCACGTGCCGCACCTGGCGCTTCTGGCACGCTTGGGCTTCCAGGGTGCCTTGTGCATCTGAAAGCCGTGGCTTCTGCGGCGTTCTTACGCATAATGCTGACGCCTGGGTCTTATTTATGTGTTGGGAAGGCGGGAGGGAGTGAGCAAGACGGTTTGCGGGCGGGCGGGTAGCTTGATCACTGTACACCCCCTCCTCCAGGCGACCGGCAGACAACCAGGAACAATGAGGAGCCCTTGCTCACACCCCCCCAACCATCCTTGTCAGAAAGCAATACGAAACACACATTCTGCCTCCAAATTCCAAAGTCGGAGCATGCGCAACTAACCCGATGCGCCCCCCTCACCATTTCTGTCAGAAGCAATACACGATACAATTTGGGGTAGAGTCTGGAGTCATGTTCTTGAGGCCCGCGAGCACTTTGTCTGTTTTTTTGATAGGGACGGCGGTAGTGTCAGCATATTGCCTGCTGTGCGCAGGGCTACCATCCCTGACAACAATCTACAAAACGCACCTCGCGGTAAAGCTGGATCATGCGCGGCCACCCCGCGATCACTGTCAAGTGGCGTTTGACAGGCACGGAGGGGGGGGTGGCGTATGGCCTGCTGTGCGCAGGCCCACCAGATACAATGATTGGCATGGGTCTTCGATAGGGATGGTGGGGGCCGACATGTTTCCCGTTGTGTGCTGTCACGTGCGCAGGCGCACCTAACACACCCTGCACGTGCCCCGAACGTGGCGCACCTGGCGCGGCTGGAGTCTGCGGCACACCTGGCGCATGCGGAGGCACGTGGCGCATCTGGCGCACAAGGCGTGCCTGGCACGCTCGGGCCCCAGGGGTGCCTGGCGCGCGTGGCGCGCCTGGCACGCGTGGCGCACCTCGCTCCAGCGTCGCGCACAAGGGCTCGGTGGTTCCCAGTAGCTGCCCATCCAACGACGATCGCCGAACATGCTGAGGCTCGGGAGTGTGCTAGACGGCTTGCTATCTACAGGGCAGTTTTAACGATATCTGATGTTAGAAAACATGGGATTTTTAATAATGACTGACTTATGACTAAAATGTATGCATGAACTCATCGCTGTTTTTAGTGCTAACCCCTGCATGTTTGATACATGACCGCACGCGGAGCATGTACAAAAAAACGGCACTGTAGGAGAGTGTATTGACCCCTCCCCCCTTGACCCCCTCCCCTCGTGCAAGACAACTGCATCCTCTTCCACAATTACTCAACACGAATACTACTCTCCCTCTTCCCCTGATGGCGTGCTGGGAGTAGTAGACCCCCCCCGCGTACTGTTTTTTTACACACAGGATTCCCGGGAGTTGGGTCTTCGCCTGCGTTTTTTTCAAAATGCTGCTCTCGCTGAGACGCCGGCCTCATTTCTGCTCCCGAATCGTTCCGAATCGTGCTCCCGCTGCAGCGCGGGCCTCTTTTTCGGATCGGTGTTTTGCCTCCGTCGTTCAGGATGGCGTTCTCGCCCCATCGCGGGCCTCTTTTTCGCGCGCCCATCCGCCCGCCACCACCGCGCCGCACCACGCCCCGCCCCGCCGCACGCACACCCACCGCCACTTCCACACACCAACGCACGCACGCACGCACGCGCACCACCACCGCCCACCGCCACCACCACCGCACTACCCCACCCACCACCACCACGCTACACCGCGTCACACCACATCACACG